GCAAAGTTTTAGGCTAAAAATTTAACACTTTAGTTAAAACTCTACAAAACAGCGAATTCTTTGAATGTTATTATGAACAGGTAGTCCGATATTATTTGATGAAATTTGATCTCTTTCGATATCGAAATCAATTGTAATACATCAACGTAATGCTTTTCAATATTTTTCTTAAAACATCAACAATGAACACCTCCTTTATCATCAGTAAAAAAAAAGAAATCAGCCTATTTGATGCAACTAAAGCCGAGATATTTAATTTTTATGTTTAGTTAACCAATTTTTAGGTCATGTTGTAATTTGAAAAGATTAACAATTTTGTTTTAGTCATATTTTAAATTATATTCGTTGTGATCAAATGCCACCGGAATCAGTTGCATTAGATGTCTTACGTGAAGCTGAATTTTTTTGTATTAGTTCATTAATAACTAAACTAGAAAATTCAAGTCCATGTGTTATATCATTACGTCGACGTGAATCATTTCGTCGTCTTATACCTGATTATGAAAATATGAAAATGGATATAATTAATCGATCAGCTGAAAAACGTTCATCATTTCATGAATCACGTGTTGTTATAACACAACTTGATCATACAAAATTAAAAGGAACTATACCATGTTATAATTGTAGTCGAGAATTTGTTACAGTTAATCATGGTATGTTAAAATTAGAATTTTATTCAATGTATCAAAAGATCTTTTTTTTTGTTGTAATTAGCTTGTGCTTTTGATGGTCTTACAGCTGATTTACAAATTCAACAACAACTTAAACCTATACAATCGGATATACATATTGATATGGATAAACTTGTCGCGTATGAAAAATTTGATTTTGTTTTTCTTTTTTTAAGAATTTTTCTATTAAAATATTTAGATTTGTTGTTGATGAACTTGTTCATGATGGTTTTAAAGCTTCTGTTGAACGTGTAACATGTCGTTTTAGTGTTCGATGTCAAAGTTGTACTCTTAGTGGTTTATATACAGCTGGCGGAATTTTAGCACCAAGAGAATGTCAAAATGTTGCTCATGTCATCAAATTTATATGGTCATAAACATTTCAATCTCATCTTTTTTTTTTTTTTTTTTTCTATTACTTTTGTCGAATAATCAATAGTCTATTGCATGTTTATTCTAGTCAACATCATGTGCGTTTATGTTTTGTATTTTCTGACAATATGTGTTCGATCTTTCTTTTCTTTTTTTTTTTTTTGTCTTTTTGAAATTGCATTGAAATCATTTTTTTTTTCTCTTTGAGTATTAATAAAAAAAAATTGCGACATATACATGAATCTTTTCATGATAGATAGGAGAATAATTTAGTTTTATGTCGATATTAGTTGTTTATAGTCTTAATATAGACTTGAAGATTTATTGGAAATAATTATACAAAAGATTTATCTTTGCAATACAATATCTAGTTTAGAATGGTAATAATAAACCTCGAAGATTTGCCTACATTTGTGTTTTACATAAGGAGTACTTTTTCTCGCAAGTTCCATTTGAGTTCGGGTTAAAGAGTCATGTCGGTATGACCTATACCGGAAATTTTCAACAACAAAGAGATAAAAGAATTTTTCTTTTCATATAATGTTGAACTAATTTATTATTCAATATAACATTAACCAGTGTACTAAAAATAGTATAAGATATTCTAGTTGTATAGATATTTCATGTTAGAAAATTGTATCGATCGTTTCCTATCTATACATCAATCACAGATAGATCTTGTTGTACGATCTCATTCATATATTGAACGATGTATGAAAAATTTGTTTTAATAGCATGAATTTATAGGAAATGATTTTCTATACAAAACTGATTACATTACTTAAGTTACTTTGTTATGCTATAAATAGCAGGTATAAAAAGTTTACCGTAGTCCCAACAATAGACCGGATATGTATCCTATCAAACAAAGATATATCAAAGAAAGTTTAACATAATGCGTTGTTCTAACAAGGGAACTCCACCAACTGATTAAAAGCTTTAAGGCTCATATTTACGCCATAAGTAGTGCTTAGTGAGACTAGATGAATCCTAAAAGGATTTTCTTGAATGGTCCTATTTGGCTAAGATATGAACATTTCAAGTTTAAGATCGAAAATGTAAATAGATTGTTTATTGTGCATGAATTACAATACTAGCATATATCAAGACAGAATTTATTGTTGAAACGCTCATCGATAAATCGTGGACCTCTTGAAAGAATTACGCTGTGACATTTATTTGATGAACTAGCTGCTACATAAAAGAAGCATCAAGTATTAATATTTTATAACAATAAGATTATTTCAGATATATTTCATATATGATCATACACATTCCTCAATTGTTTGTATCTGGTATTTTGTTTGCGTGCCTTGTCAGTCGTGCTTTATCTTTCATTCGCATTCGATTGCTATGTTTCTTTGGTTTTCATTCAGAGTCAGAAGGAGTAAAAAAGAGAGAATAAAGAAAGCCTTCTATAGAAATATTAGAAACTTTATTTTGTGCTGAAACATCCTGCATTTATCTGTGGTCTTTTTCTGGA